AAAGTATAAATAAGTTTTATCGGAATTTCGTTGTTAGTCAACCAGCACTAGTTTACCGGAAGTCCGCCCCAAATTCCGTTAAGGATCCACGAAGTCCAATTTCGGCGCGGAGTCGAAGGATTGAGAACCGATATGAAATAGATTCCATGAAGAAAAATACACGAAAAGAGTAGAGAAGAGAAGAGAAGAGAGGAGAAGAGAAAAAAGTAAAAGATATCGATAATCGCGTTAATAGGAACGTTGGATTCGAGCGAGTGGAGTACACGGAAGTAGACGGTGACATAGGAGAAGTCGAGGAAGCGCGTCGTAGGGCGTAAACGGGATTGAGTTCCCTGTGCGGGTGACGGGGCACCGCGAATATCGTCGAGTTCGGCCAATAAGCAATAAAATTGAATCGCCCTCGTAAATCTATGCGAAGCGAGAAAATCCAAGAAGAACCGGGCGTCCCGACTCCATCGGAATGTGAGCCTATCAGGCAAAAAAGGGGCAACGAAGGGGAATGCCTATCGGAGACGAGGTTCTTCCTTGCACGAACAACTACCCCCACTTGTCTATAAGGTGTGCTTGGAGTTAACATTTTACAATCATTCAAAATGTAGTTATCGGTTTTATTTCAATTTTAATTTGCGAGATGCGATTCGTTCGAAAGACTTGAATTAACTTAACGTTAAGAAGTGAACGGAGACGATGGAAAAATTGATAGAGGCAAAAGAACATGTCCGACTGAAAATGTTGCGCGTCCAGCGTTGAATCGCGTTAGACAAACTTCAAAATCGTGATAATACGTGCAATTGCCGTAGGTGGATTAACGGAAATGAAGCGAAATTCAATTTCCTGGCAGCTGGATATTTTCCTAAAAACGGTGATAGCGAGCATCGGTATCGATAGATCGTACAAACGAGTTAAGAACAAAACGTTTGCAAGAAAATAAACAAATCTTCGTTGCTTTGAATTCTAAACACGTCCATATCTAAAATGCATTGCAATGTTTATGAGATCTCGTTTAAATGGAACGAAAAGAAATGAAAAGTTGATCCGACACGAGTGTCGACGAAAGAAGAATTAAGGCGGAAGTCGGAAATAGACGATGATCTCGTTTAGCTCAAAGTCAGATGTTCAAATAGGGATTTGAATAATTCTACTCGTAAATATCGAGTTAAACAACATCGAAAGGATGCAAATAAAATGGAATCAAAGTCATCGACGAGAAGGGCTGGCCAATTCCCAACGAGAAAGCTGCTTCGACGACACACCCGGTGTATCGGGAGAGGGTGAGCGGGTCGCGGGGGTTGAAAGGACCGGAACAGAGTATCGGGATCGCGTGGCCCATGTAAATGCGCGGCCGCCTTCTCTGCGTGTATTATTTTATTATATACCAGAAGCTATTGGGACCACGTGACGCCAGCGGGTTGCCTCGGCCGAAACGCAATCATTCTTGAGTTATTCGAAAAGGCTGGTGGCTGCAACGGATTCCCCGACCCACCTATACGAACAAGACGTCTACGTGCCGCACTCGCATCCCTGACAAACTTCCTTTTGATCGAACCTAGCCACCGGTTACGCCCGGATTGTACGCGAATCCGATCCCACGACCACTCGAGCCTGTCGATGCGACGCGACGCGATGCTCGATGGAGTTTCGAAGTTTATAGTTTTGGCTTTTCCTACGGTTGGAAATCTGCCCATTTCGATTTCAATTTCTGACACCCTTTCGCGACTTTTGTTTTCAACGTTGAGCTTGTGGGTTTTTGGCTACTTCCAATGGAAAATATTGCCTCGATAACCCCTGAATTTGATAGATTTCGCAGGTAGCTCGCGAAGATTTCGCGAAACGATTCACAACTTCTCTCTCCGAATGGTTGGATTGGGAATGAAACGGATGCTGTCCATCAAAAGCGTAGATGGCACAATTTCATTCGATGAATAGGACGAACGTACGGCAATGTATTTGTGACATTTGTCGACCGAATAGTTAAATATTTGTCTATTCGTTGCGAAATATTTCATTCTATAATCTAAATTTATTTATTTAACGTTTCATCTACGAATAGACAGTCGCGTATAATTGAATATCTATTTACGTTGTATGTTGCGCGTAACCCAGGCGACAGTGAAAGTCAGTGTTGCGTGTTTGTTCGATCGGATAAACGGATGTTTATCTTGTATTCGTTATTCGTCGTCGCGAGCGCGTTCGATATAGCGGCTCCTCGACGATACACGGTTCGATTAGACGAAGCCGATGAAATTTTTCCGGCCGAGCAGATCCTCTCGCGTCAAAGAGTGGCCTGGCCGGCTTTTCAGGCCGTGGCGCACAAAGTGTCAGCCGGATTATTTTCCGAAAAAGCTCGCGGCCACCGACACCGACACCGACACCGACATCGCGTCAGAGATATTCCGCACGTTAGGAGCTCGTTAATGCTTTATCGCGCGGTTGCGCCCGACTGGATTTGGCCCACTTTGCCCGTTTCTGGAATCCTTCGATCGATCCGTGACATCCGGCTCCTGCTTTCGCATCCATTTCGAGTTCTGCTCACCAACGGATACACAACGATGTCTGACAACGCGACCGTTCTTCCGGCTGACAATTTTAACACCTCCCCCAGCACCTCCCTGTCCGTTCCTTGTCCGGGAATATCGTCACTGTCATCGGTATGTTCTTCCCCTTTCATAAAGCTATTGTCGGCAAAAATAGATTTTTATTATCGAAAGCCAAGGGAAAACGGACCGAAGGAAACGCTGTGTTTTGTGACGAAACTTTCGGAAATTACCGAGAAGAATGGCGCGAGGAGTCTAGAAAAGTTTAAGCCCGTATACGCAATTAAACGGAAAATCGTGATAATTCCTGATTCGAAAGGGCAAGAAATAACGTCAAAAAAAAGAGGAGGGTAGATGTTGGAAAAAGTGAAACGACGAAAACGCTTCGCGCCCATAAGTCGATTGTCGCGACGATCAAACCTTTCCTGCTCGAAAGCCCCGAGGGTAATAACGAACGCGTCAATTTTCCGTCTCTGCCGGCTGTCCACCACCCACAGCGCCCCTTTGCAACCCCTTTGCAATGGCATCCGTGGCTGGGCTCTCGATGTCCTTGTTCCCGGTGCCATTTTTTCGCGAGCTTCCTTTCATTCGTTATCGGTCGCTTGCTAATGGCGCGCGATTGCCTTTTAACCCCTCACCCCTTCGCTGGTGTCTTCGTCCCTTCGTTGCTCCTCGTCCGTCCCCCCGTGTACGCGTTGGCGTTCCATTTTCGTAGATCGACCGCAACCGAAAAACGAAGGGAAGGCTCGCATAGAAAATTTTAATCGAGAGCTACTTTGCCAAGGATTTGTCGTTGGGACGACGGGGAGGGTGACGTTTAAGATCGTTCAACGGTTGGTCGTCCCGGTGGCAGGTTAATGGAAAATCGTGACTCGCGATGGCGGAATTAGGATCGGTTAGACACGATTGAAACTTGGGACGTTTCGCGATCGACGCGACGGTGGTTCGATTTTTTCTACGACGGAATCGAACGCAACGGTCGGTAGCGGTTGTTATTGACAGCCGTGGAAACACCGGAATTAAAAGTCCTCGTGTTCTCGTCCAGGTACGAACCCGCAGTTTCGAAAGATAAAGTTTCAATTTAGATTGCTGGCCGCGACGTAATTCTTTAGGATTAAACGCGTGTTGCAGATAAAATTTTTTACTATACCTGGAACCGGGCCTGTTCACGTGCGTCGTTTTTTTTTTTTTTTTTTCATTCCTCTCATCTACGATTATGCCCCATTTACGAGACGAGTACCGCAAGGGACCGGCAGTTATTACGTTGCAATTTCGATTTAATGTCGCGATCGCCTCGCGTGAGCGTATAGCTATTATTTCAAAGGGTAGTCAATCGGCGCGCAGTGTTAAAATCGAATCCGCGGTGCAGTCTCCTCGCTGAGAAAAATGAATTCGTTGAAAATGGTGATTTCGTCGCGACGCGTTCCATTTGTTTCGGTCGCGCACTTTCGATCGAGGAACTTCGAGTTGTCAGGAAGCGAACGGTAGAGTGAAATTTTATTTTTTTCAATGGATACAATGTACCGCATTTTCATGCCGTTTCCATTCCAATTGTCCTGTAAAATAATTTTTACACGCGAATCGAAGTTCGTAAATTTTTAAGAGAGTTGGATTTTAGTTTCCGAATATACGAGATATTTTTAGTCGGAGAATTTGGGACTCGGATATTTTTTGGTCAAAAAGTTGGCCACGCGGGAAAATTTCGAATTGAGAAATGAAGAAATTAGAAACTAGAAAAATAAAAAATCGTTAAGAAATTTGCTACTCTAACAGAGGAACGAAATATGTACGACCAACGAGAAGCATGTAATTTTACGAGTTTGAGTCTCTCGAGAGCTCTGTTTGAAATCCGCGTCGGTGCAAACTTTTTCTCGGAAAAATTACCTCTCGCGTTCGTTGGAAACGTTCCAATGACAAAGAGAAAAACGAGGGGGAAAACGTATACTCGACAAAACATAATACCACTCAGATTCGAAACAAGGCATACATCACTCACTCGAGACACCAACGAAAACACACCCGAAACCACTCTCGCTTCTCCAAGGAAATGCATCTCTTGACACTCTTGCATCGTCACATGTCCGCCCCCCGCCCCTGCCCTCTTTTGGTACCCTTTAGTGACATGTTTATCAGCAGTAGTATTATATCAGTTATTGAGATATTCGTGGTATGCAACCGAATCCCCTTTTTTTATCCAGTGACTTGTGTACATGTTACTTATGCCCTTGAACATATTTCTCGATGTGTATCTGTAAGTCCAGATTAATTTTTGTTTTCTTTTGTTTGAAAACGTACGAAACGAGTTACATATACAAAAAAAAAAAAAGAAAAAGAAAAAAAAAACAAAAAAAAACGAAAAAGCATTCGTAGAGTGTAAAAAAAGATTCCACGAAACGACCTACAAAATGGTCGTTCACCTGAACGAGTTCACCATTGATTCACATTCGTCTTTTTTTCTGCTTTCAGCTGCACAGATTCCACAACGCGGAAGTAAGTACGATTAAAATACATTCAAAAACCGTTTTCCTTTCGTTTGTTTGGCGACGTCTTAATCGAAGCTATCGTTGATTAGACACGGGGCGCGAGAGAGAAATACTTCTTTTCGTATCGCGTTTAGCGGCTGCTTGGAATCTTTCGCGCGGAACATTTTTCAACGACTCACTACCATGTGGTTCGCGTTTTTTACGCGACAACGGAACGTCTTTGGAGTTTGTTTTAAAAAGTACACGGTGCTTCGTTTCGAGCACGAACGAATCGGGGACAATCTTTCGCTCGTGTTAAGCGAGATCGGATTGAAGTAGCCGAAGAGGTCATTTCTAATTTACAAACAACGTTCTTTCCCTTTATTTTTGTCCGTACCATCGAACGCGTTTTCTCTTTGACGGGCAAAGTAGCTAGCGATTCTCTCCATCGGTTCTCACGGCGATCGACTAAAGGATGGTTTGAATTTTAGCATGCAAGAGGAAAGACGAGATGGCGAGCCAGGCAGAACACCAACAGCCCGCCCCCAAGAAACCGCGCCTGGTTTTCACAGACCTTCAGCGCCGTACTCTACAGGCTATTTTTAAAGTAAGTCTTGTATAACTTAACTCGCGTTTTGATCGATAGCGGTTTCTCCGCGTTCTGTCTCGATTGTCCCGGGAAAGCAAAAATTCGAAAACAATGAAAATTGACGAACGGAAATTCTTCGCGAACATGTTTCGCTTTGAATCGACGTTACAGTCGTTTTTCTAACGATGCAGCCCCGCGCGAAATCGTATTCCAAAGCGACGTTATTGCTGTCTACCACGGTCTACTCCGCGAAGAAATTAGCTTGTCCTCCGCGATGAACAAATTGTTCCATCGTAATGCTGCAAGATTCGCGCATCGATCTTCCTTTACTTGCCACCGCGTGCACCAACGGTTACTCGATAACGGACAAAATATTAATGAAATAAAGGAACCCGTTCTCGCTAGCCCGGCGAGTGAAACATTCAAAGGATCGAGCAATAAAATTTCCCCGCTTCCTGGCAGCCATCGATAGCGATAGGCATCGTTAAAAATGGAAAAGGCGTTTCGAGTATGGTTGGGCTGGATTTTTGTCCCGTCGCTACGTCGACAGGAACGCTAATGAGGAAACGGACAATATCGATGGGCATTCTCGAAAGTGCTCGCGATCGTAGTCGCAATCGAAGCGCGGGGAGCGCGCGGCGAAGGAATCGGTCGCGAAATAATTCAAGACAGATCGATAGTCGGCGGTTGACGCGCAAGGGGGGTCAAACTCAACCCTCCACCCGCACTCCTACTCCTGCCACCTGCCATTCGCTCGATCTGCGCGTTTTTATCCACGTGCATGCGAAAAATCAGGGACGCGACACGCGACCCCAACGATTGTTTTCCCTCGTTTCTGTTCTCCGTTTCATCGATGCACGCGCGTCTCGATCGTTTCGATGAACTTGGCCTAAGTAAGCTTGCTAAGGGTTGGACCAAGTAAACAACAGCTGAAAAATTTCGGTTGTTATTCAATGTTTGAATTTCTTTGGCATTTCATGGCATCGCGAATATCTCTCTTCTCTACCACTCGATCGTAGAGTGGTCGTTTTTGACTTGGTCGTAGGGACTGATTTTATTCGCGATTAGCTTTTCCTTTCCACGACGATTGGAAGGTTTCAAGCCGATTGGAAGGTTCGAATGTTTCTGGCTCGCGTTAGAAGTCTAGGTACCATACACGAGCCGGGTAATGTCGTTGGGAACTATGCCAAATAGTTTGCAAACCAGTCTCCGTAACTGCGACGAACCTGTCATTAAAGAAGGCATTAAAAGACAACGAAAGAACTCTGGAATGACGACGCGGAATTTACGTCCGTAGACGCTCACTCGATACCTCGCTCGTCGCGAACCGTCCATATCGCGGCCATTCGATTCCACGCGTAAAAGTCTACAATCCTCGAAACGCGCCTGGCAACAACGATCGTTGACATTCGTATTACAGCGACGTCCATTTACGTTAACTCCTCAACGTTGAATCGCAAGCAGTCTTTCGAAGTGGAGCTTTTAAAAAAAAATTAACTCTTAACGCGTGGTTTTCGAATTCGTTTCGATCAATCTTCCGGAAACACGAGGGAATCAGTTTCATCGAAACAGATCGAATGTATCGGAACCCTTCCGACCAGTTCGATTGAAAGATAAATATGGAAATAACGTGGACGTTCTCGAGAAAGACGAAAGATCCGGTCGAAGCGTATTCGTTGGCTCTTTGGAAGTATGCCAAATAGTTCGCGAATTGACCTTAGCCCAGTTAACGTCGTCGCTCGATCTTTCTCGCGTTCTGCTTCTATTTTCCGCTCGATTCTTCGAACTTGAAACTTGCAACGAATCTTTCCACTTCTCATTCGCGTATCACGATCTCGTAAAGAAGACGAAAATCTTGGACTGCGATCGGGAAACGTGCAGTCGCGAACCAACGAACAGTCGTGAAAACGTAGCAATAAACGCGCAACACCGATCGATCGTGCAAAAGAAATTAATCAAGCCGCTAGAATGGCGCTGTTACGAGAGATTTAATTACTCCAAGTACCCTGCATCGAACGACGATAGCAACGCGAATACGGTGGTTTTCGATTTTCCAAATGCCCGAACTCGAAGAGTAGCGATATCGAAATATATGGAAAATAAAAAGAGTACAGGGTTAGGAAGGCTTCGAAGAATTCTGATAGGAAACTCGGTGCCGCGTAATTCGAAGGGAGTATGCACCGGGGTGACGTTTAAGAAACCGCGCGCGGCCGCGGCCGTATCGATATCCTGTCTGAATGTAATTCACCGTGTGTAACGCAACGAAACGAAGGTTGCCGCCTCTGTCTACGGAATACCAGTTCAATATACAGAGAAGCGTATCAATTGCTGGAAATACAGGACACTATCGGCACGAGGATCGTGATTATTCCTTGACAGCCACTGTGCACCGTGTCTGAGCGGAGGAAGAGGGAACGGAGCGATGGTTGCATATGTGTCACGAGGCGAGCGGTGCACGGACAACTTCAAAAACGACAAGAAAATCACGTGTTCTTCGTAAACGCTGTACTTGGACAAATTTCGATCGTTTTTTCAATTACGATGCAACGTAGTTTAATAAATTTTACGACGCGTACGAATCTTTCTAAATCTTTCTAAATCGAGTCATCTTCGGGTACGACTAAACGTAATTTATTTATCGAATAATTCGTTGAAAAGCAAAAAAAAAAAGAAAAATTGTGTCGGTTCGTCGACTGAAATATCATCTTCGTTACGAATTCGAAATTAAAAAACAAGACTATCATCGACGAGTGTCGAGATCGAGGATAATTCGCGAATCACTCGTTTTAATGTAATAACGCTTAGAGGGTTAAACGGTCGCGTTTTACGCGTAGCGCGATAATTATTGCGTTCTGTCACGCCCGCTGGAACATTGGTTTGTAATAATTGTTGCTTCGACCAATCGATACCCTCTCTCTCGCTCACTCACTCTCTCTACCTCCTCCGTTATTGATCGGCCCACGTCGAGTAAGAAACGTCGCGTGGGAAGAAAGCGTGCCAGCCCGTTTACCACATCTAGAGAAATGTTTATCGTTCCGACGGTCGAACGACGATTCTTCGTATCGTTCTCTCTTGGTTCGAACGAACGAATACCAGAAAAGTCACTTTACCTATTTCGTTTATATACGGGGCGAAAGCTGTAATATAACAATGTTAGTAAGTAGAAAGAATTTGGTGGACTGAACGTGCATAGCTGTAGCTTAATCGTTTAGTCGTTTGTTAATGGAATTCAATGTTCGGGTATGCCGGCTCGTCGAATTGCAGATTCTTTTGATAAACTGCCGTTCCGTGCATGTATCGTAATTAGGACGCAGTTGGTAAGAATGTTTGTCGTGTTGCAGGAGACCAAGAGGCCGTCGAAAGAGATGCAGGTGACAATCGCCAGGCAGCTGGGCCTGGAGCCGACGACGGTCGGCAACTTCTTCATGAACGCTCGACGCCGCTCCATGGACAAGTGGAAGGACGAGGACCCGAAGACCGTCGCGGTCGATGAGGGACAGCTATCACCCACAATAGGTATCGGGCAACGACAGCCAAGCGATGTTTTGTGACACACGTCCGACCACGAGGAGTACCACGACGAGTCACCCGAAGAAGATTTGCCCTTCTCGTAAGGGCAGCGCGTTTCACGCGACGCGACGCGACGCGTTGCTTTGATTTCGAACGAGAGGATATCTCCAACTGACCTGGAACGTCAGTTTTTCACGCGTTCAGAATTCTTTGCGATAGGCGATTGGGATTCGTTTCGATAACGCGACGATAACCACGGGACCGTATCGATGAATTTTTCTCACGATTGGATACCGTTATTGGATATACAGATCAACGAGACCTTTAGGTCCGTGCGTTGTAAGCGCTTGGACAAACGGTATCGTTCGAGGTCACCAGTCATCGAAGAAACTTGTCCAAGATTAATTTATATTTATCGGTCTAATTTCGTCCAGTTACGAATCCCACCTTCGTTTCCTTGTCGAGTAATCTACCGGAACGAACTGACGATATCATCGAAACCGTTCGACGGTCGACGCTTTCAAGGTTTTCGGAACTTTTTTAAAAGCTTCGAGAATTTCCGTCGAGTCCCACGGTTGACCGAATTTCGTAACGTTTCAACTGAAAGCAGAACGAATTTCAAGGCAAAACCGGTCATTCTTCGAACTACCACGCAACGACGTCATTATCTTATAACCACGCCTGGAAAATCGTCTGGAAAGCACGGCCGCTGTGATCATTTTTTAACGACGACCATCCGTAACGCGTGCGGCAGTATTGTCCGTGAATATTATAGTCGAGCTCCTCCACGTCGACCAACACACCGGCAAAAACCATTTCGTTTCAAACTATTCGTCGCGATTCGATTCTATGGTAAAAAGAATTTCCGGTTCTGTCGTTATTTTGCGAATACTTTTTACGCGGAGGGACTTTATTTTATCGAGGAAATACTATACGTTGGAAATATAAAAAATAGCTTTGTCGTCACAAAATTTCCTGTTCTTTGGAAAATTGTATCTCGATGTCGACGATCTATTCGATTAAAATGAATAGGTAATCGCGCGGTAATAAACATACATGACGTTCCAGAGATCGAAATCGAGCATCGTCTAGCGGCGTCGAAGGAAACCGTGCCAGCCGTCGTTTTTCGGATCCGAGAAACTCTCTCCCTCCTTCGATATCGAGCTCGTGAGATCGTCTAAAATGTGACGAAAATTACACTTGGACGAATCGTTCGAGACTTCGAATCGAACCTCTCCGGAAACTTGGTGCCATAATTTGCCATACTAGATTAAGCTACCTTTCTCCGCCGTGGGTGGTTCATCCCCTCGATGTGAAACACTTTCTAGTCTACGCGTGTCGAAGTGCTTCTCCGAAGAACGCCATTTTTTATCTAGTCAAAATTGCGAAAGACGCGCTTCGGATTGTTTTAATCGGTGCTCGTAAGCTTCTTCGACGCGGAACGGGCGACGTTGAGATGAATTCCAACGCGTTCGATCTCGAGGCGTTGAGATTTTAAGTTGCGTAACCGTGAAAGGAAACGATACTTTTCTCTCGAACGCGGTAACCCTTTGCGATTCGTCTTCTCGTCTAGAGAGCAGCCGGTGTTAATTTAAAAAAAGATGCCCTTCACGTCGAGCGCGAAGATACTTTTTTAATACTATAATAAATGTTTTAAAGAATGGAGTGTTTTAGTGCCATGTGGACAGTTTTCGTGCCATGTTCTATTTAAGATAAGGAAAGAAATATCGAAGAGACGTGGCTGGCTCAACGCGGAATCGCAAAGGGTTTCAAACTTGCACGAATTTAGAAAAGTGCAACATTTCGCTTGAAAAAGGAATATTTTTACTGAAATCGAGGAAGCCTACGATTTAGAACGATCGATTTCGTCGCTTTAAAGGATCGATAGACAGAAAAATGTAGCCCGAAAGTTTATTTATACAATCCGACTTACAAAACGAAATTCAATTTCGCGTCAAAGAAACAAAAGATCAGATTTTAAAACTTCTTCCGATAATTCTGGAATATCTCCTGTGGTAGGAAAAAAGAAAATAGTTGATTAAACTCCAGTTCGGCAACGATGATTTTAAAGCGACAATGCCTCGATTTGCGAATAAAAGTAGTCCGTAAAAATTCAAGAAACAGAGGGTGTTGGAAACCGAGGGAGAGAGAGACTTTGTTCCGAAAGTCGTCGACGCAAGAGGGTGCAGCGTTCAGGACTCGTCGTGTCCTCGTTGGTCGCTAAAAGGGACAACCTAACGAACCCGTTAAAACTGAACAAGAACGCGAACAAGAACAGCTTCGTTTCTTAACACATCACACTCATACGCGACAAACGTAAACATGCGCGCGCACATACACACACATACACACATACACATACAAAAATATGCAAAACAAAAAAGTGGCATCGTGTCGAGGGTGCACGTGCCAAGTGATATATTCTATGTATGTAATAAACATTGTATATCAGAGTGGACGCTGTTTTGTGCGAATCGACGAAGAAGAGGAGACGGGACACGAGACGTACGGAGGGTGATCGTTCGCGAGAATTAGTGGATCAGTGTTCACCGACATGCGAAGAGAGAGCAAGTGGAATGCGTGAGAGAGAGAGAGAGAGAGAGAGAGAGAGAGAGAGAGAGAGAGAGAG